CCTATTCAACATCGTAGCAATATATGGCTATGTGATTAGCATTTGTGTACGCCTGCGTGTGCTGTAGGGGTGACTGAACGAGTTTATGAACTCGGATTGCTTCACCATTACATCCACTATTTATATCATATTGCTTGTCATATTACTCACTCCAGCAATTTTCATAACTCTGGGTGTAATGAAGTTGAGGCAGTTTAAGACTAATAGGTTCTTGAGCCTCTATACAACTGTTCCATGTTAAGTGACTACGCCGCTGTTAAGTGACTATGCCACTAAAACCTATGGATGAAGTCACTTTTTTTGCGCTCTTTGACCAAACGTGGTTGCCCCACCGCAGTGGTCCAGTGGCTAAGGTACTCGGCTGCTGACCCGCAGGTCGCGGGGATCGAATACCGGCTGCGGCGGCAGCATTTTCAATGGATGCGAAATTGCTGTAGACCCGTGTGCTCAGATTTGGGTGCACGTCAGAGAACCCCAGGTGGTCTAAATTTATGGAGCCCTCCACTACGGCATCTCTCATAATCGTATGGTGGGTTTTGAACGTTAAAACTCACATATGAATCAATCAAACCAAACATGGTCTTTGTGACATTAAGCACATGTCAATAATCTAATCTACTTACTACCGAGGTATGCAACAGCAATTGATCGAGTGAGTGTAATATTTGTTGCTACGGCTGACAGAACATGATAACTTTACGTTTTTTCGTGTGGCCACGCCCACCGTAATTGCCTCAGAGATGAACGCACATATGTATTGTGTTCTTTTCCATTTCTTTGCATTCCAGGACCACTATGTGTCCTGCAAGGAGCGCGTACAATGTCCCAACTGTGATCACAGCGTCCAGACAAAACAATGGAAGGATCATCCTTGTACTTTCAAAACTACAAAAGAGGATCCTGGCGCATGGACGACGGTGGCTAAGGTAATCATTAAAAACGTTTTTAACAATTCGTTATGGACAATCATGTTAAGGGGAGAGGCAGTTTTATAGATTAATCAGTATTCTAGTATTCTGTTACGAATGTGGCCAATATAAAAAAATTGGTAATTTGTAACAACTTTAGACAACGTCATCGCTAATAACAGCCAAGACATGGCCTTCAAACATCATCGTTTTCGTTATGCCGGCTGAAGTAACATGAAGTACTTGGTGACGCAGAAGATGCGTAGTGGTGGAAATTTAACGGGTAGAAGAGCGAATAAGAAAGCAAGCAAAAAATAAGGCTTCTATGCTGTGCTTTGCGATGTGTTCGTCTACAGTGTTACTAGGCAAGAGACAAAAAGTACGAAGCTGAGACTTGATGACGTTCGTGTATTCCCATTACTAATTTTTTGTACTTGGGTCTCGTGCTATTCAACAATCGCGAATAATTTGAAATAATATCGACCCGATACGATGTGTATTAGGTCTTCGCAGAACACTGTATTCAGAGGGCCTCAATTATTCTCATATACAAATGGCGACCATATTCCGTCAGCAATTACCTTCATTCGCCCGACACTGAACCTGGCAGGCGTACCACATAAGAGGGTACATTGCTTGTTTGTCATTCGGCTAACTGAGTGCAATCGAAGGCATTTGTCGAGGTTATGTGACTTTTACCACCGTTATTTATTTTCACGTTACGACAAGCAATAAATTAAAGCGACGCGTACTGTGACTACAAGGGTAGTAAGCTAGCAACTGTGGTTTAGTCGTAATGGTGCTCGACCCTTGACCTGAAGGTCACGAGATTGAATCTCGGTGGCCGCAGGTCGATGGAGGCGAAATGCGACAGCCCCATGCACTTAAGATTTAGGCTAATGTTAAAGGGCGCCAGATGGTGAAAATTTTGGGAGGCTTCCGCCGTGGCGTCTTTTATAGTGATGACGCGATTTTGAAACGTGAAATCTCGACAATCGTTAGTCATCCCAAATGGAAGAAAGTGGAAATTGGAGGACTTGTCCTTGTTTGTTAGACACAATATTAATGAGAACTTGCAACAAGGTCACGTGCTATACACGACGCCAACCGGCAGAAAGTGTTCCACACTAGCCGTCATGGCTACCAGCGGCTCCGACTGACACACTCGCGTTTAAGTGCACAACGTTTAACGTGAACTGGTACGTGAGCACTGCTGTAGCTCAACTGGTAAAGCATCGGCCGATTTATTCGGAGGTCGCAGGTTCGTTCCCCGCCAGCCGCAAGTTATTGTTCCGTTCACTTTTCTTTCTTGATGTGTACATTAAAATTACCACTAGTAGCGTTCTGTATACCTTCTCCCTGCCGTTCTTTTCCTCTTATTTTCTTTTCTTTTTTGTTGTATTAACTGCCAGTTTTCATTAATTATCAGTCATTTTAAAAGGACTCATCGCTTCCTCGGTGAAAAGTAATGTAAAAAAACAGGAAGTGTGGATTCAGCAGCAACAACACGCACATCGTACTCACATGAGCACTTCGGGCTCAAGTCGAGCTTCCTATGGCTTGTACATACCAAAGCCAGTGTCACAGAGACAAAAGGTCCTGTATACACAAGGAGAAAAAAAAGGTCCAACCACCGTTTGCTTTCCTCATTTAACTCTTTATGCACGTAAATTCAACCCCGTTGTGCCCGATCTCAGTCAATATATTCTCATTACCTTGCAGAAAGGATCGGCAGCCGCATCAACAGTACCGGGTAAGGATTTCGTCTGCGTGCTCTGGCGATCATGCACTCAAACTTGATGTCATCTTGCATTTTACTAGTTTTATTGGATTATGAGATTAATCCTCCAACGAGACATCTTCTATGTTTCAGGAGCACAAGCTAAGCGTACAAACAAGAGACGTAAGGGCAAGAAATGAAGACACTGGCAGCATGTAGACTTTTCAACGGAACCATGACGAAGATTTGAAAACGTGTGCAAGCAGCGCTATCTCTCGACAGGGACAGTGCTAGCCGGCCATCACTGAATTGGAAATGGGCGAAAAAAAGTATTGGAACGAAGAAACTGGTTACCAAAAACGACCCTCTCTTCGACGCAGCAGATACTTGTGGGAACATTCTGTTGCGATTAGTGTCGCACTACAAACCGCATGACTTTCTAGAGTGTTTATATATTGGGCATAGCTCAATTGTCCTGTCATGCCACATGCTTTATAATACGTTACTGCAATTTCGCCAAAGTGTTTCAGTGAGTGTTTGCTGTTAGAAATGAGAGTCGTTTTTATACCTAGGTTTTTCGAGACATGTACTTTTTTTTTGCCGCTGGTTTTCTATTCAGTTATGACAGGGGGCCATTGCTGTCACCGAGAGATGGCGCCACCTTCGTATGTTCCACAAATCCAGGGAATGTGAGTGTTCAACAGGAAACCGAGGTTCTATGAAGAAACATTTTCATGTATTGACCTAATATAAAGGGGTAGACATTTTCATCAAGAAGCTGCTTCAAATGACTTCCTTCTTTGTTTTAATAAACTTCCGTGTAACGTCACTGTGAGTCTATATGACGTCATTTTATTTATTTCAGCACGATAATGAACTTATTTTTTTCTGCACACGATGAGCGTTCAATTCGATAAGAGCCCATATAAGCTGGGTAAGAAAACGGCTATTGTGGCGTTATGCGATCGGGTTGTATATATGACGACGTGCACTACATGCGTATCATGGATGTCGTATTACTTCAAGTAGTTTTTTGTGCGCACTGAGTAGGCGAAAGATAAGCCTAACGTAAAAAAAAAGATATGATTATGGGACACGCCGTAGTGAATGATTCGTTTTAGGTGGCGCTAGCTCTGTATCTTCAAAGTAGGATTTACGTCATTATTTAACAGTTCAGTACAAGCATAATTTATTTACAGTCTAAATACGTTACTGGCAAAGTGTTTGAGCAAGACTTAAAAACGACAATACAGTACGAAATATATACAGCGGGACAGTTTGTTTGTCGTTGTGCTTGGCATTGCGAAAAAAAAGCTATCATCATTGCGTGGGAGTTCTCCTCTGCGCGCTGAGCGCGTCCCGCAGGGCTTCCATAAAATTCGTTCAATCAATCAATCTATGTTGAACCGGTGCGCGCTCTCTTCGTTGTTTTGTTTGTTTTCAGATTAGCTTCCAACATGCAGTGAAACAGCTGGAAAATGAGTACGCACAAAGAAGGAAATATAGTTTTACAAAAAAAAAGAGAAACCGAAAAATACAGGAAAAGAAATGGAGGAAACGTGAAAAGACGAAGAAAGAACTAGAGTAAGGGAGAGCTAGAATGTAGTACGTGCAAAAATTGATAAAGAAAAAAAACAAAGAAGTAAGAAGAAAAAAATAGACAAAGGAAAATGGACCAAAATTAAAAAAGACAGAAACGGAAAGACAGAGGAAACGAAAACGTGCCAAAGCCACTGTAGTATAACATAGTAAGGAGGTGGGAAAGGGGAGCGATGGCAAGACAAGGAAGATGAGAAAAAATGACTGTGATTTGTAGCATACCAAGGTATGTGAGTTGTGAAAGGAAGGTGACCATTAGAAAGAGGGGAAGGAGGAAAGAACGCCAACAGTTTCTCTGATTCCTCAGTTTTCGTACAACCACTGTGCAGCTGCCTCACTTTTTTCCAGCTTAGCAGTTCTTCGTTATGCAACTAAGTGTCTAGTCTTAGTCAGTAGACCACCCCGCCGTGGTGGTCTAGTGGCTAAGGTAGTAGACGGCTGGCCCGCAGGTCGCGGGATCGAATCCCGCCTGCGGCGGTTGAATTTCCGATGGAGGCGGAAATGCTATAGGTCCATGTGATGTTTTGACTTGGGTGCACAATAAAGAACCCTAGGTGGTCGAAATATCTAAAGCCCTTCACTACGGCGTCTCTCATAATCATATGATGGTTTTGGGACGTTAAACTTCACATATCAATCAATCTGCATCAGACCAAATTTTTAATCACTGAGTTGTCCAATTCTGTGGACTTTACGGCAGCATTTTTACTTACGTTCGCACAGCGTTGCTGCGAAATACCTTCGGCAGAAACCGGTGGAAATGACTCGCTGTAGTTACGGAATGTCAGATTTATTTATTTAGCTCTCCATCGTAGAGCAGGAATCCTTGTCGTAAGCCAGTTTCGCGTCCTCGCAGTTGTCGTCGTAGTTATCCAAGCAGTGTTGCGGAATGTCGTCGATAGCTTTCTCGGACACCCATAGGACGCACTCTGTATTTGTAGACATCGTATTAGTGGGATTATATCGACCAATAACCAAGTGCTACCTTATGTTGAGTTGAGAGAAGGCTGAGGCTACACAATCGAACATGTACCACAAAAAATACTTCATAGAAGATAAGCTGCGCCACAAATCGTCAACTCTACCAAGCAGGGTTATTTCAGGAAAATTGAGCTTTAAATGGGTCTTTAAGCACATGGCGCAGTTTCCAGTGAGAATATGTAATTAGTATTGTATCAATTGTAGCCTCTCTATGGTCACATTTAGAACGATGTTTGCATTTATTTTACTTCCTTGCAGAAAAGAGACGTCTGAAAACCGCTCTATGTGGCCCGTAAGAAACCATTACTCTGTCTTACCGTCGCCACCATGATAAGGCATCTCCATGACGACACAGTTCTTGTAGTCCGTGTAGTCGTAGGTGCCGATTTGAACTGGTTCGTAAGCTGCAATAAGGTATTTCAAAAACTGGTTGACTAGCGCAAATGATGAAGACAGTGTAAATACTACCACACCTTTATAAATTGTGTGTAGTAGGAACGGTAAGCACATAAGAACAAGAAGTAGTTGTTTGGAACATTTCTATCGCAAGCGGCACCAAATTTTATGCCATGGTGACTTCCCATACCTTTTGTATGTGAAGGAATAACTGCTCTCGCAAGCAGCAGGAAGGCAGCGATCTGCTAAATATTTGCGGGAACACTACATGAAAGATCAGACTCGGTTGTGAAAGTATCAGTTAGCGACCAATGTGTTAATGTAAACTCCCACAGCCAATTTAGATTATTGGAAAGTCTCTATTGAATAAATGTGGCCTGAAAATGTGTGAGGAAGGACTTCGCCACATGTGTCTAGTTTGTGTAATATATCGGTTCAACACTTCCACCATGTTTCATTTTGACTTTCATAGAACGTAGTTTCCACAGCTTTTGAATGCTCGTGTGTTTTCGATTCCATGATTCTCAGTACAATGGCTCCTTCGAGCACATGAGCAATTACTTACAGTTTTTATCTTTAACTAAGAACTGGTTCAGTGCTGGTCCAGGAGCAACTTGGAAAGAAATGTTTTGCCTGAAATTGGGATGAAATGTTTGTGTTAGCAATTGCATGACGCGTTAAGTTTAACAAATAAAATAAAACTTGAGCGCAAGAAGCTGAAAATAAGAATTTTTATGTTCGGTAGCGTGGTGAATGTAAAACTACCCGCTGGAAAAATGTTGTAGTGCAGGTGCTATGAATTAAGAAATGAATGTTAAAGCTCAAAGTAATAAACAAATGGGTAGACATTGATAGCGCTTTTCCAAACAAAGCGGTATACAATGAGGTTTGCTTGAACCTGGCCAGGATTTGTTTTGGCGGCGAACTGATTATGTTCTTTTTTTTTATGAAACAAGAAACCATGATTAGGGCTGAGCTGTTATGACCATCCTGCATGTCAGACAATTCGATAGTATGAATAGTCAAATGAAACGACAAGTAAAATAGGCAATTGCAGCGCAGACAGGTGAAGACAATTATTATGAAACTACTGCAACCATTAGAGATCACATTAGCCTATCATTGTAGTAATTTTGAAGGAATAATAGGACATTACACTGCACCACGCTAAAGAGAAAAAAAGTGCCGCCATATCCACGAAGTGAATGATGATGAGTGGGCGAAGCTCTGGAGGAAAACCTGGTAAACCATGAATCTTCCGTACATTTTGCCTACTCGATTTTATTACAATGCTCCCCCTAGCGTACGTCGCCGCACTAAATCGAACGATTGCCTTCCACCAATTACACGTGCCATATGTGACATCATTCCTATTTTATAACATCTCGCATCTTTCATCATCAACTACAAGTAACGCCGTCTAGTTTATAACATCTTGCATCTTTTCATCATCAGCTACAAGTCCCGCCATCTAGTGAGCACTGAAAGAACTAAACGAGAGGTGGCTACATGCAGGAGACGGAGCCGCCATCTAGTGGACACTGCAAGAACTAAACGAGAGGTGGCTACATACAGGCTACAGGGGACGCACAGCCCACGCTCTAAGGAGCTTCGCCCCTAAAACAAAGTGCGACAACATTGAAATAGTGGGCAAATTAGAACCCTTAACTTTTGAAGGCTGTCATTCTTCATTTTTATTTGCTTCGTGGTTGGTGCTTTGTACCACGAAGCGTGCGTTCACGACACTATCACAACTCCTCACGTTTGGACATTTTATTGATCGTTGTTATTAGGTCCAAAAGTATGCATTGTTTTTTATGACATTGAATGACAAAGAAGCTCGCTGGTACCCAAGATCACACTTACCAACGGGTCTACAATCTGAATTTAAGCAATAATAAGCATTACGAGGCACTTGACAGTAGACAAGGACGAAAAGCAAAGAGCGTAGCGTTATTTACTGATTCAGGCTGCCAGTAATTTTCATCGTGGGATAGCGACTCCTGCGACGCCTCTGGTTCGCATGCCAAAAAGGTCTGTAACATACTCTCCCTGCCTTTTTTTTCGGTTGTAGGTAAGATGCACTATTTAGGAATGTTTGGAACGTCTATTACTCGATACTTCATCCCCTCTTTTTCCAGCGATGTTTTTTTTTTTCGGTTTCATTTTCTCGTGTGTCGTAAAAATGACAGTGTCAAGATTACAGTAAGAGTAATTTTCCCATTAGATCTTCAACTTACGGGGTATATTATGGGGTGCTTGTGAACTGTCTCTAACCAAGCGAAACGACGAACGCAAGTGGTGTCATGAGGTGGCAGTCAACGAATACAGAATCACTTATAATTTCGTTCCTACACAGGACGAAGGGACTTTGTAGAAACACACGCGACTATGACTGAGAACTCACGCGTGTCCATTCAAGTTTTTGAGTGTCCAGAAGTATATAGCGGTTGATGCATTCTTGTCGTAGTCTAGGCGCACAGTTGACAAACAGTCGAGGTCACCGTCTTTGTCTACATCGAAGATGGCTACGGCACTGGCAAAGTTGTCAAACACCTGAAAAGTATACACGCCATTTGTATGCACCTTCAAACTCGATGCCATGAAGGACCTGACTATTAACATTTGCTAAAAGAAGCCTGTAGTTGGCCCATGTACTAGTTTTACGTTTATTGTTAAATGAAGTATTTTCACTTGAATTCATAGCTTACTTTGTGATGGTCTTTCTTCGACCAATCATTTCGTGGTCTTCATGCCTAGGTGGATGTTTTGCTAGTTCTACTTAGCATAAGTTTCTAATTGCGTTGTGTCATCTCGGCAATTTCTTGGTTTTAATGAAGGAGGCTTTCCATAGCCAGTGTTAGACTCTTAGAGCAACAAGTACAAGTTCACATGCAAGATACTCGCCACGCCACAAATATTCATGACTTTACAAAATTCTACTGCACCATTTATCATCATTCTGTGGAGAAGCATGATTGATTGATTGATATGTGAGGTTTTACGTCCCAAAACCACCATATGGTTATGAGAGACGCCGTAGTGGAGGGCTCCGGAAATTTAGACTACCTGGGGTTCTTTAACGTGCACCCAAATCTGAGCACACGGGCCTACAACATTTCCGCCTCCATCGGAAATGCAGCCGCCGCTGCCGAGATTCGAACCCGCGCCCTGCGGGTCAGCAGCCGAGTACCTTAGCCACTAGACCACCGCGGCGGGGCAGTGTGGAAAAGCATGGTAGTCTACCCATCGCACATCTGTAAAAATGCACAATCAAAATGTCTTGGTGTTTACTATTATTCTGTGCCTCGATCAATGATGTTTCGAAGCTGCGCAAGGGCAAAATGACACCATGCTGTGACTGATGATGAAGAAGAATTATGGCTTAGTGTTTCATAATGCAATCATTGACCTACCAGTTGTGCGATCCACACTGCCTAGCTGTTATCCTAATTTACCACGACTCAATATTACGTATGAATGAGGACAAAGAGACAACTTGTTACCGGCCGGATCCAAATCTAAGACCTTGGAATAACCCTTCCGTTGCTCTGCCACTCAGCCACGGTGGTGGTCATCTCTCTGCTCACTTTTACAGGGTGTGTATGTGCATTTAAATGCAGTAGTCCCAGTCAGCGCCACCTCGCAAATGTAAGTGCACACACACACACACACACACACACACACACACACACACACACACACACACACACACACACACACACACACACACACACACACACACACACACACACACACACACACACACACACACACACACACACACACACACACACACACACACACACACGCACACACACACACACACACACACACACACACACACATATATATATATTTATATATATATAGTTATATCCTATAAAGCAGACGGTTGATAGCTGCCACCGTAGCTCTGTCGTAGATCATTTGAAGCGTTATTGGAAGGTCTCAGGTTTCAATTCTGCCGTTGAGAAGTTATCTTTTTGTCCACTTTTATTTACATTTACGTTACAATTACTTGTAATACCAATCCCTGGACTGTCTATTTTTGGTATCATTGTGTGTTCTCATTATTATTGTGTCTAAAAAAGAAAACGAGCCCTTAAATTCACACTTCCTTCAATATTACAGATGCTCACATGATGGCTTGCCCGACATGACACTGATAGATGGCAATTTCGCGAAGGTTGTTTAAAGCCCCATCATGACCGTGTGGTGGAATACTCTGCCTGGGCCCTTATCCTGTCCGTTCCGAAATTGTTTTTTTGAAGACGATTCTTGGGAACCTTCGACGCAAAAATATTGGTCTGTCTGTCTGTCTGTCTGTCTGTACATTTGTCTGTTTGTCTGCTCTTACCAGCATCGGGTACTTAAAACGGCCGAACCCATCCGCAGCGACCACCAATATCGCTCACGGTTGAGCGTTCATGCTTGCGCAATCGTTAATTAAAAAGCAATTATTGCACTTGTCTGGGGCACCATTACAACACGCATATAATCTGCATATGCATCTTTTACTAGAAAACGCATACAAAAGTAATTTTAGGGACCATAGCGCTTATCACGCTGCGCTTACCATGCAACGCTTGCACGGAACGGGGAGCGTTTCCAACGCTTCGCTAAGACGAGATGGTAGTGGCACCTACCCGTCGCCTCGCGTTCTACATCATATCACCTCTGAGACGTGCGCTCACGGCCACGCGCTTTGTTTTCCAAACAAAACTGCCAGATGGCGCTCATATATAACGTGTGACGTGACTTTATGCGTTCGTTCGCTTCCGCTGCACGCTCGAGGCACTCTAACGCAGCGCCTCCGGAATACCATTCACCAATTTTCTTGCGCAGAACCTGAAATAAATGTTTTGTTCACTCTCACCACACGCAAGACTATCGTCTTTCGATGACATTTGCAGATTACATGCAGATATGGGCCAGTTTTTTACATTTTACTTTCGCTTTGTGCGAGAGCAGTTGCGCACATCAGTGGCAAAGGTGGCAGTAGCAGGCAGCTACAGCAATAAAAATTGCCTCGTGTGACGTCATAACAGGTTTTCCTGTAATATATGTATGCATCACTCACCAAAATCATGCCCGAAAGCAGGAAAAGATTGTTTACCAAAGACTATGTAAGTTGTGGGTGGAAGCAAAGAATAACACGCACCACCAAAGGTATTGGCATGCTCACCAAGATTGACGCTGCCATTTATCTTGAATAGCTGCTTAAAATCTAATCGGAGGTGCTGGTGCTTTCTTAATGTCGACTGTCAGTAATCGTGGCTGACATTCCCAGATTTGTTTCTCATTTCATATTTTCTTATTTTTCTTATTTCCTGCTACAGTAGTTACACACACTGGCAGCGGTGGTGGAAAACTACTGCACTACAACTGCCATGGCGATCTGTGAGATCAGCTTGAGCAGTAGAAGTTATGTAAAAGTACATCTATCTATCTATCTATCTATCTATCTATCTATCTATCTATCTATCTATCTATCTATCTATCTATCTATCTATCTATCTATCTATCTATCTATCTATCTATCTATCTATCTATCTATCTATCTATCTATCTATCTATCTATCTATCTATCTATCTATCTATCTATCTATCTATCTATCTATCTATCTATCTATCTATCTATCTATCTATCTATCTATCTATCTATCTATCTATCTATCTATCTATCTATTATATATCTGCCTGCGGGAGTGGGCGGGCGTGCGACAAAGTCTCGGTCATCGTTGAGTAAATTCCTCAGAATTATCGAATAGAACACATTCGTGAAAACAGCTTTGCTAAAGCTAGTCCTTCAGAAGTATCAAATAAGAAAAAGCCTTGACTGAAAGAAAAGAAATGGCAGATCCCACGTACAGTGGGAATCGATGATATGCGAAGCACGAATGAGGAAGGTTGAAAAATCACTCTAAAATTAGCACAACGCTACGAGGCGGACGTAGACTATGCCGTAAATGACTTCCTTGTCAAGATAATCATGTTTGGACGTGTCATTTACCTTCGTCGTCTATTGACCTAACGTGATACCAAATTTGGTATATGTGGAGCCAGCGAAACGGCCGCAAGCGCGCTATGAGCGTAGCAAGTAGTCATGTTTTACAAGACACGCTTGTCCAGAGTATCATGTTTGGACGTGTAACTTACCTTCGTCATCCGTTCACGTCACTTATACACGAAACGGTCATGAGCGCATCGTGAGCGTAGCATGTAGTCGTGTTGTTACATGACACGCATGTCAAGATTGTCATTTTTAGATGTGACACTTACCTTCGTCGTCTGTTAGCGTTAGGTAATACCAAATTCTGTATATGTGAAGCTAGCAAAACGGCCGCGAGCGCATTAAGAGCGTGGCATGTAGCGATGTTGTTAGATGAAACGCATCTCATGATTATCATGTTTGCATTAGTCATATACCGTCGTCATGAAATCATGTCACGTAATACCAATTTTTTTATATGTGGAGGTAGCGAAACGACCATGTATACGCAGCAAGAACGTGGCGTATAGCTATGACTTATCATTTACATGACGTGCATGTCACGATTTCCACGTTAGGGTCTGTCACTTGAGTTCGCCATGCAGTCATGGCGTACCACACCAGTTTTGCAACATGTCATGGGAATGAAACCTACTGCAAGAGCAGCAAGAGCATGAAATGTAAATGATAATATTCATGACATACATATTGCCACAGGCATGGAACGAGGTTGAGCCATGCCAATGCGAATATGTGCCATGGTGTGAAAAAGAAGAGGACTGTTTGTGGTGCTCGTGCTCTAACGTTCGGTTCAGCTTCACAGATTCTTTTTCAGTATGTGCTGCGCTGTCTTCAGGAGCCAACTTAACACTTATGCACGTGTTTGAAACCTCATACCAACAAACTTGCAAAAACTGCAGCTCTTATGCGTACCAGGCTATCGTGGCATATATCTCAATGAGATGGCGGATGCACTAGCCACAGTATCTCTTAGTGGTCCCCTTATCCCGATTTTGCCTGATACGGCTTACGCGACAGCAATAAGGTTTAGAAACCTCTGTTTGCATGAATCCAACTGCTACTCATTGGATAAATTTCGTGATTTCGCATATTTAAGATGCTGCTGGAATAGACAGTGGTGCGCAACACGGCAATCGAAAGTTACCTATACAAGATTGCGTTGCGGAATTCTGCAACTAAATTATTATTTGCATAAAGTTGGTCTAAAGGCGTCACCTTTATGTCAGATTTGCGAGAAAATGGAAACTATGGATCATTTCTTTTTGTTCTGTCGACGATATTCTTATCAGCGGAAAAGATACCTGGTAGCTCCACTTGAAAAATTAGGATTATAATTTAATGTGGCAGTAACTTTATCGTTTGGCAGCATTGAATTTGGTTATAGCCACAGGGACGTCTGCTCTGCGGTATTTGACATTTGACTACCTAATTGAAACAAAGCGATTGCCATGTTAAACTGCCCCATATATATATATATAGATATATATATATATATATATATATATATATATATATATATATATATATATATATATATATA